TAAGGTTACTACCCGCAGGTTACGCGAGTTTTTGGATTGTGGAGCGACCGAGTCGCAGCTATTCCGCCCATAACAATGCATTTAATTTATTTTTTGTCTAAAGATCTCGAACATCCATCTTCGGAATTTGATGTAAACGATCAAACGAACAGACATCGAACATTCTACACATCCTGAATGCAAATTTAGATTTATTGATTCCCCAGGTTTAGGTGATACAAAGATCAAGATCGAAGAAACTTGGAATTTATAGTTGAAAAAGCGGTTAATGACAAATATTTAAATTCTATGATATTTGCCATCAATGGAAGACAGGTTCGGTATTCATAAGTAATAAAAAAAAATACCGTTAACGGCTTTAGCAATTATTTGCCAAAATCTCTTTTGGAAAATAATCTTTTCATAATCCAAACCAAAAAACTTCAAATAGACCTTTTCAAAAAGGAAATAGCGATACAAAAGGTTATTTTGAATTTATTTTTGGATTCAATCTGTTGATTTTATCTTGTTACTATTGTTAACGAAACGAATCTTTACAATAGAATGTATTTTACATGGATAATCTATCGTTTTCGTGCAACCCTAATGAATGGCGATCTGATTCTCTTGAAGTTGAACAGAGTTGGGATGTGTCACGAAAAACAACTGATAATTTCTTGACTGCTATCGAGAATTGTGGATTTAAGTCTACTGAAGACTTTCAGGACTTAACTGCGCAAATTCGAAATGCTATCGGAGAAATCAGCAAAATTAATGGTGCAATTATTCAACTTTTAGGTGCCAGATATGAATGTGAAAAAAACGAAAATATCTTGGAAAGTAGCAAAGACTATACGCGAGAGGAATTTCTCGAGTACATCAAAACCAATTATAAAAATCTTATTTGTATAAATCATCTTGAATCAATTTGCCATGTAAATTGCCCGAATTTGTTTGTTTTCATACGTGATTATATTGGATTTTTCGTAAAATGCAGAAAATGTGGAGACATATCGACCGATTTGGTTTGACCCAAATTAGCCAATTATGATTGAGAATTATTCGTCGTTAAAATTTATTACAGAGTAAGGTTTTATAAAAACGGTTTTTTAAACTTTGAATCTATAATTAAGTGTATAGAATATTACAATATCTACATGCTTAATTATTAGCTGAAAGTAAGTTAAAAGGTCGTTTTTCTCAAAAATTACTTCCGAATTCGCACTTACCCAATGACAAACCGATCGTTCACTACCCGAAATACCCGAACGCTTCAACAACTAGTGATAGTGCTTTCTTTACGGCTTAGAATAGCCGTTTTTTTTAGTATTTACTGCTTATTTATCTCATATAGAGGCTAAAAAAAAATATTTTTAATGAACGTTTTGTATGTTATTCTTCGTCACTTAATGGCATAAGTTCGTGTAACAATTTATTGAAAAAAGACAATCGGTAGATATGAGTAAGTTAAAATATCAATGATCAAAGTAATTAATAGTATCTCTTGCAACAGGATAACATCTATTATAAATCAATCGTTATTAATGGTGTCGCTTATAATACAAGAATCCAATTTATATATCTGCTTTTAAATTGTGACAAACATATTTAATTAAATAGCCATGATCTACAAAAGTATAAAATCATTAAAGCTGTCAAACATTTGAAGAAGTGATTGAAGAATTAAAAGATAAAGATGATAAGCATTTTACTAGTTCAATTGAATTAAAGGCATAAAAAAAAAAGAGATATTTGAATCTCGAAATTCTAGCAAAGGGAGTATAATCGGGTTATAGCAGCATTCAACATGATATCGAATCTTTAAAAATTATTAGTAAACTTAACTTTGATAGAAGTTTGCGATCAACCTTCGATAAATTAAAGACTACATCTGAGAGTGTCTCAGACGAAAATCTCAAAGCAAAGCAGCTTAAAAAGATTTCTGAGATTGAGGAATGAATTAAAATTTGATGAAAAGTTATTTTGATTGAAAATTTACTTAATGCAATTATTGTTCATGTTATGATTGTTACTTGATTTTTTTCATCCAGATAGATTAGTCTTCCTTATTATTGGTGGAATATTGCTATGTTATATGTGATACATGTTGGCTAATAAATAGTTACAACATAACGATTAAAACTATTAGTCTTATTATTTTTATTCCTCACCATAATATCTTTTTAATTCTTTACATTTTTCACAAAGACCTTGTCTATGACCCTTCAATTTTTTTTCACTAAGCTCACCATTAAACTGAGAAAAATTTTCCTTATAAAAACTATAAATCAATTTCTGTTTAACTTTTTCTTTAAGAAATTTATTCAATAATTTTTCCCCATCAAATTGGGCAATTTGATTACATTTTGAACACTGCAAATGATATTTTTTTACTAGTTCCACCTGCTTCTTATTTACTTTTAAGTTAGCATTGCATAAGGAGGAAGAAAACTTATGTCCACATTGACAAGATAAATGCCAATAAAATTTAATACCCAACTTACGACCATTTCTTTGGGCTAAAATTTCAGAAATATTCATCTCTTAAGTGGCTAAGAAATTCAGGAAAGGATTGAAATTCTTGTTTACATTTACATAGAAACTTATAATAATTACTTTGGGTTGACATTTTCTTTTTTGAAATGTTCGATAAGTAAGAACTATAAAGATTTTTTTATTGATGGAGAAACAAAGAAGTTGCTGTTTTCCTCCTTGGGCTGTAAAGAAGTATTGGAAGTCGCCTGGTTAGGAGGAAGAGGACAGGAAGTTTTAAAATACTAAAATCAGTCATATTTCTTTAAGTGAATAACGATTATATTAAAGATAGATAGCAATAATCCACTTTGTTTCCCTATCTTTATATATAATGCATTTGACTATTTTCACAATCTATTCCATAAGTTGCAGCACTAGGTAAATACTTCTTTGTGCCCAAAAAAGGAAACATAACGTAAAAATAAACCAAGCCCGTAAAATTAGAAATTTAGGGTTAGGAGCAAATAATCACTTCCTGCATGAAAATTTCATTCCCGCCATTTTTAATTAGTGCCCAAGATGGGTTAGACACTCATTTTCTTATATTTTTCTTTTGCTTCAGTTTTCTTTGTTCAAATGTTGGGTTGATCCAGGACAATCAATTTTGTTTTTCGATTGGATAACTTCCCTTTTGGCATTTGTATCATCATATAAATAAGTGTGTGCACGCAGCAGTTGTGATACGGAACAAAAGTTATTGTTGCTCAATATAGAAAGGTTTTAATAATATTAAAAAATTCATCTGGCACAATATATAGTTAACATTAACATTATACTGTATTTTTTGCATAAAATTAAGATTTCATTCATTTCTCCGACACTCACTTCACCGGCACATTATTTTACCAACAATCAATTCACTGACAGGTTCATTTCATCGATAATTATTTCACCGACAGTCATTTTACCGACAAAGTAATGTTCTGGTCATTGTCGCTAGGGCCAGTTTAGGACTAGTGTTAAGGTTAGTGCAATTTTTTAAAAAAAGCTTGTTGTCGGTAATGGCACAGATCCTAAAAATTATGTAATTAAATTACTTTTATAGATTACATTCCGCCAAGAACAGTCAACTAAACATATTGAAGTTATTAGCAGATCAACACAAATCAACAATATGTTATTAAAAGAGAATTATGTTAAACCAAGATGTAGTAAGTTTTTAATCTAATAATTTTAGAATACTTTTAGATTTTACTAAAACGCACCTATGGTGTTTTACGCCTATGCATACATTATCTCAAAAACTGGCTAATTAATTGGTGTGAGGTGTTCCAAACAAAAATGAACGAAAA